GCAGTGCGAGCTCCCTGCAGGCGGACATGGGGAGGGCGAGGGCCGAGCGCTGCAGCCTGCGGTGCGGATGTCTCCTCCCGAGCTCACCTCACCGCCCCCCCCGCTGCCGCAGTAGGGTGCGCTGGGGCAACCTCAAATGCATTTTACAGGGAAACTGCGATCGGCTACACGCCACCCGCCCAAACCAAACAAAAGGATCTGGGATTGTGCTCAGCCTTAAAACCCCTAGCAGATCCCTCACAGAGCAAGCGCTTGTGCTTCGTGGGGCATAGCAATGCAGGCGTGGAGTAAGTGGCTGCTAAGTGTTTGATTTGTACAGCGCCCCCCGCCCCCAGGAGTGATTTCATCCCAGAGAGGATTTCCTGGCTTTGTGTGTGGTGTACTAGCTTTGGACATGTTTGCAGAAGAGCCCTGTTCTCCACAACTCCTCGCATACCACTTGCTAAACTCAACAGAAAAATCTCCACCAAGAGGGCATAAGAAATAAAAGCAACCGGGCAATTTTCTGTAGTTTTTAACTGTCTTTCCTGATGGGCACAGCTTTGCTAGCAGCAGAAGCTTTGTATTATTAAACCTGGAAACTCTTAAGACATATATGTTGATACTGAAATACAGATCTAGATATGGATAGATCCATTTATCAATCTACCTATTCCTCAGCAGACAGATCTAGTCCTATCTATCTATCTGTTTCCTAACATTTATACCACAGTATGGTTCCTCAGCAGTTAGAGTGATGGGGTACATGGTTACTCCTCATATTGAGCAGTTTTAAATAGACTAGATTACATCTTTAAATATGTCCATGGAAACTAAAGGTAGTGACATTTTTAGTAGAGACCTCTGATATTTCCTGGTGTTTGTTCCCAAATGGTTCTGTTTAGAAAAGCAACAACTGATGATGTCTTCAAATTAAATGAAAACCCTATATTTTCCCCTGAGCCACTTAAATGCATTGTTAAGAGGAACATGATAAGGGACTGTCTACCCTGTTATCGAGAGTACAAAGACTTCTGGAAGGGACAGGGGCAATGATTGCACTGGAGGGAGAACATGCTGGGAATCTGGAAAGGTGGTGAGGCATTAGATGGGTAATCTTGACAAAAATGGTTATTAATGGTTGCATTTTAACATGTAGCGGTAAGAATTCAAGGTCTGATCCTGCAAGGGTTGATGAGCTCAGTGCAAGTATCATTCACTCCCAGCAGGCCCAAGCTTCTCTGATACAGACCACAGGTGCTGACCACTGTTAACTCCAGCAGCAGAAATTAGACTGAGTCGAGGGAGTTCAGCACCGTTCAAGGTTAGGATTTTAAATTTCACTGAAAGCCTCCTGGAGCCATGGATAACCCATGGAACCCCTTAAAATCTTACGTACACAATACAGGAGCAAGGCTAAGATACTCAAAGGGAGTTAGGTGCCATCCTCCTATTTAGGTACCTACATCTCATTAATCAGTGGAAATCAATAGTTAGGCACCTTAATATCCTTGACCTGGGCCTAAATCCTGAGGTCAGAATCAGTAGGAATTGTCCCACAATTAGCTGCATATTATATATCTTTTCTTATTCCAATTAAAATATTCTGTGCATGTGTGTTTGCTTGTGTGCACCATGGGACAGTGAGCTGCTTGTTTAGGACCAGCTTGAGATCACTTCTTCCCTCTATTCTATTGCACTTGCACAATGTGTATTTTAAAAATGCTGAAATTGCCCATCCCAAGGCAGTACTATCTGGAGGTGTTAATTTCTGTGCTTCTAGAAGAAGCAGAAAGTAAAGGAACAGTGTATGAATTCCTTGGGGCAGAGATCGACTTCTTACTGTGTGCGTGCCTGGGACTTAGCACAAGAGAGCCTTGATCCCCAATCAGGCCTCATACCAGTACAGTCATATAAATAAATAATAGCATTCTTACAAAAGTGATGTATGACCCTTACACAATAGGATAAGCCTGGAGTTGGATAAGCCTAGAGGCTCAGCTGTTTTATGTTTTAGATTAAACGATCGCACAAATAGATTTGATGGAAACTTCTAGTGCCAAAATGCTCAGTGAAGATTACTTTGTGCAGGTGAATAATAACTTTTCACGTGAGCATTGTTCTGTCTCTCTCAGGCCTCATCCTCAAGGTATCTGAGCACCAGCGCCCTTATGAAATAGGGCAGAGTTATTATCCCCCTTTCAAAGACTGGCTACTGGCAGAGCGAGAGGCTAAGGCCCAGTTCTTGAAAGGTATTTTGGCACCTAATTCCTAGCCTCTCAATTACCTTCCAGGATCTGAGCCTAAGTAACTTGAGTATGTGAGATATTAGTGGCTAAGCAAAGGATTAAACCCAAGCCTCCAAAGTCCTACGTTAACACCCTGACCATTGGACCATCCTACCTGTTTGTGAAGCTTTTCATTAAACGTTCAATGATCAGATTTTTGTTCCTTATCCCACTGGGAGAAAAAGTGATAATATTGATGCTGGTTTTAATACATCAGTGAAGCATTCCACATATTTATGACATATTTTCCTATGAGCTTATATTTTAGTGCATTGCAATTAATAGAAAGAGAAAATAGTAACTTACAATAACAGAGGCTCAAACTAATGAAAGGAAGAAAAGAGGAATCAGAGAGAAAGATTCCGGAGAACCATCCTTTTCTTTCCTTATTTTATTGTAGATGTTGTAATTTAATAAATAGCATTTTTGTTTAAACAGTACTTTGAAAACAGGATCCAGTTTGAAAACAAAGTGAATGTTCATTATAAACACAATTTTGACTTAACACATTAAAGATGCTTTATTGTCAGGAAAAAATAAATTCTTATAATTTGTACTGGACAAATGCTGAGACACTCCAACTCTATAGCTAGATTGTGTGCAAGGCACTGTACAAATAGAGGCTTTGCCTCAACTTGGTAGGGACCACCATCACATTCATTAAACTGCTACTCTTACAAAGTGAATACACATGTACACAGTAATATACAGAAACACTTAATTTTATGTCATTCCATGGTGTTACTCTCCTATTCTAAAACTGGTGGCAAATAAATGACTCATCTGTGATACTGAGTGATGGAAGTCTACTGTATTGATGTTGCTTTCTTTCCAAATCCAGTATTTAATGTCACAGTATGGCAGAAATATTATATAATTTTGGACGCAATCCTGCACTTCTTTGTAGATTTGCTTGACTGAGGATAGTGGGGTACGGTCAAGTATAAAAATTGTGTTCTGATAGCGAACACCTACTGTAGGGTTTTTTTACACTGAAGGGGTTTTTTGTTGTTCTTTTATACAAGTTGGTTTCCTTTTTGTTGCTATTTGCCACAGCGCATTGAGGGTAGCGTTTCATATCCAGTGTTCACTTACTATTATATCAAAGCTGAAATTCAATACCTGGGGTGAAAATAAGGCTTAGAACTTATTAATTAAACTCCGTAGAATAACATGGCAGCAAGTTGTTTAGAAAAGACGTGCCTAAAATCAGGGCTATAATGCAGGATGCCTCCCAGTGTTAACTACAACATTCATAGCCACCAATTGTTGTTTAAAGCCTAACTGAAATGCTGTCCAGCCGGCATTGCCCATTGAATTTTTCTTTGTGGACAATAAAATATAAAACCAGGAGCTTCACAGTATTTCCTAAATGGGAAAAAATGAGTGACTTGTTTAAACACACAGTTTAGTCACTGTATTTTCCTTTATTATAACTGAATTCTATTGAATACGAGCACTTTTCAGAGACAAACTCAGGCAACTTTGTGCCAAAGGTACAGATTGGCACGAAGCTTCTCAGTACGTTCCCATGTCCGTTTTTTCTCCCTGGTGTTGCGTTTGCTGCATAAAGTTCTTCTACAATCGTTCCTAGAACTCGATCGTGCATGAGGCCTTCATTTTTTAAAACAGTGCATTTTACTGTACGACTTACGTGTCTTAGTAAGGAGTCGAAATATGTGTTGCTAGGAAGCTGATCGTTTTCTCCAAAACAAAGAGAAATTTAAAAAACTGCAATATGAGATCATGAATTTGGTTGATATTTGTCTGTATTTTTCTGCAATTTAAGCGCAATATTTTGAGCCCAGAATCAAAACTCAGCTGCACTGGAGACAGAAAGAGGAGACAGGATTGTATCTACGGTCTCAGTTTTATAAAACCCAACTTTTATTTTTTAAACATTTTAACGAAGCAAATATGTATGATTACATTATTACAACTACTTTTAAATTCTGATTAGCACATTTACATTTTAACACATTTAACTTTATAACTACTCTTGCTTTATAACTCTGAACACTTGCAAAGATCACATCCAAGAAAAGTTATTTGTCCTATATATATATCCTTTTTTCAAAACTGTATAAGAGCTGCTATCAACAAACAGTCTGCATGAAGCATTTGCTAGGTTCTCTTAGCAAACAACTAACTAATACACTTAACTAACACTTCTTACAATTGGCTTTGCCTTCCAGAATGCCTGTAGGTTTTGTATAACATCTAAGCAATGTGTCTGTTTAGGCAGCTGAATTTTTCTGAACACTTTCTTACTGTAATTCAATGGCCTAGTGCAGTGGTTTTCAATCTTTTTTCATTTGCAGACCCCTAAAAAAATTTCAAATGGAGATGTGGACCGCTTTGGAAATTTCAAATGCAGGTACAGACCCCTTTGAATTGTAAGTGTGGGTATTCCCATACTTTTGCTTGATCACAGACATCTTTTGCATACTCTTCAGGCGTAGTCTTTGAACTCCCAGCAGTCTGTGGACCACAGGTAGAAAACCATTGGCCTAGTGCAATGTAACACTTTAGTCGTGGACAACATGGGGATGCAGATGCTGCTTTATTTCATAAAACAGAACTCCTTTTAAAAAAATAAATATGTAACCCCTGCACTTGTAACACTTGCCTTTCTTATGCTGTGCCTGAAACAGCACCATGAAAAAGGTTAGAGCATGATGTCGTTATGGTAAGGGGGTGTTTGTTAACTTCCATACCATGATGGGACCATTTCAGTGACCACCGCAGGAAGACAAGGTTCTTTGGGTGAATCTGATATCTTTTATTAGACCAATTTAAACAGTTGGAAAAAAATTAAGGTGAAATTAATTGAAAAAAATACTGAAATTTCAAACGAATTGAATTTTTCCCCCAACTATTTAAGTTGGTCTAATATAAGATATCAGAATCACCCAAAGAACCTTGTCTGCCGATGTCCTTAGACCAACACGGCTACAACTTTACACCCCAGGGATAACCCCTATACACTTCAAACCTATAGATGGAGATAATGGGATGAAATTGCAGAGGAACAAATGGATCCTTTTTTGCTTTAATTTTGGCTCACGAAAAGCAGGCAGGTGGCAAGGCTGGATGTCATCCTCTGCCAGTTCAGTACACTTGGGAAAAAAATTATTAAAGAGTTGTTCCTGATCTTACAGAACTGGGGTCTTGCTGCAAATCTCCGGGCAGCTTAGTGAGCCACCACGGAATAGGTTTTCTCGGGTAAATGAAAAAAGCAATGCCTGCTGCCCCCCCCCCCCCCAACTCCCCCTCCCAAAAGCAAGAAGCATTTTTTTCCCCCCTTACAGAGATTGTTGTCTTTTCTTCTTTCCCCTCCTCTTCAGACGTAGCTGCTCCTTAAACACAGCAGCTGGAGTAGCCGCAAGCAGCGGCACCCTGAGCCACAGCTGCTCATTTGCGACGTGTCCTGCCCTTAACATCTCTGCAGGCTACAAACCAGCTCCGGGGAAGCGCAGGCAGCGAGGAGGTGCCGCCGGCGCTGGCACCGCCCGGAGCTCCGCAGTCACATGCACCGCGGAGGAGCCCCTCTGCCCTGCCCGGCAATGGGAGGGTCGCGCAGCGCAGCCCCCCGCGGCAAGTAAGAGGCGGGCGCGTGTGCACGCGGGGGCGCGGGGTGCACGTGTGTGCGCGCGTGTCGGGGTGCTGCGGGGCCCGCACACGGTGGGGCCCCCCTTGCCCTCCGCAGCGGAGGGGCAGAGCTGCGGGAAACCCTGCGCTGCGGGCCGGGGAGAAGCGAGAAAGCGCAAGATCCCCCGCGCCTGCTCCGCCGCTTCTCTCTGGGGGCTGCGGGGTGGAAATGCAGGCTCTGGGGGCGCGGGTTAACAAACATTAAATACATTATTCCAGCCAGGTCAACATGAGAAACTTAAAATCCTGGGTTATGCAGCAAACTCAAAGTCTTCACCTTCCTCTTCCTGATTATTCATAGACTGGAAAAGAAAGACAAGCTTTCCTGCTTTTTTTGTTGTTGTTAATTAGCAAGCATGCCTTTTTGGGGGAGGGTCGCACTAGCCCCACTTCTAAGTCATTTGAACATCTCTAGGCTCATCCTTGTGATATCACCCAGAAGTGCTGCGCCCGGGGGCTGTCCTGCGTGAGACAGATTGGGCAGGGAACAAAGCCACGCCAGCAGTGCTAGTTCAGTGCCCGGATCAGATATTTCCCCCAACTCAAGAGCCGGCGCTCAGTTGGTAAGAGGAAGTTTCACCAGAACAAAACGGTCCATTTCAGCTCCTCAAACCTGGTTTCAATGTTGATTTAAACCTCATGTGGTGGGGGGGGGGGAAAATTGTCGGTAGGCTTCCAGCTTGTACCCCCCAAAAGGTTCAGGCCTGGGTTCGAACATCTAGTGACCCTAAAGCGGAGCTGAGGTGCAAGGTGGTGCCTCCTCCCTGATCCGATGACCTCCTACTGTGACAGTTGAATGGGGAAAACAGAGAAGCTCCCTCGAAATGCTGCAAACTTCAAACTGTTTAGTAGGAGAGTGAAAAAAGGTTACAGTAGAAACCAGCTGCTTAGAAGAGCACATGAAGTTACTGTAAGCTCCCTGCCCAAAGCACATCTCAGGGACCTGTTTCACCCTACAGCTGCCCTGGCCTGTCCCCAGGCCCTTTGAGTTTGTGGGCCTGGGGTTGGTGAGACGCAGCCCTTTCTCCATGAGACCCTTTGGGCAGGAGATGACGAGCAAGTTCGATGCCTGCTCAGCAGGTCCCACAGAGTTTGGATGCTGACCTGAAGCAGCCTCCCAGCGGCGGTAGGAGCTCCAGCCAAGCTGGCGGGGGAGGTGGGGGGAGGTTATTACTGTTGCTGGGGAGGCAGTTGTGAGGCTGCAGGTACTGGGGGAGAACGGGAGGGGAGGCAAGAGAAGAAACAGCCCCACAGCTGGAAAAAATGAGGCACTGAAGGTGCCCCCTTCCTCTGGATGGGACTAACAGGGGTGGTGGGTGCCTCCTCAGCACTGCCCAAGCTCCTGGCATTAAAGAAACACGTCCAAAGATTGAAGAGGTGAAGAAACTTTCACTCCTTCCTCCACCCCACAAATGGAAAGCTTCATCACGTGGCTTTTGCTCTGGGTTGTTGCCTATTGAGTCCTGCAGACAGAGATGCTGTAGGGACTTCAGTTGCTTTATACTGGACGCTCCCCCTGCCCCCACTACAGTGAGGACCACACAGTTGCCCGAATCAAGACATTGTGCTTGGAGCAGCAGGTGAGGGAGAACAAAACTGATGCCTCCCAGGAGACCCCTTCCTTCCAGGGAGCCCTGGGCACAAGGGAGTCCTCAACAAAAGTCAATCACAGCCTCCAATCTACATCACAGACCACCCGTGTCCAGCACCTGCTGCCTGTGACAGCCTGGGACCTGCAAAGCAGAGGTGGGGGTCACCTCTGGATCAGGTCCATCAGCATCCTCTCAGCATCCCCAGTGAACTCTCTAGGACCCTCACTCTCTCCAATTGGCTTTAAGGAGAGCAAGGACTAAAGGATCAGGCCCCCAATCTTTCACCAGCCCTTTCTAATCCAGAGCACTGCCAGTCTTCAGCTCCCCCACCCCACAAAACACCCAGGACTGGGATTAAAGTACTCAAACCAAGGACCCAGTCCTGCGGCCATGAAAGCCTATGGCAGAACTGCCATTAACTCCAGTGAGCAGAGAATCGGTGCGGGGTGTAGAAGGGGAGTGCGATGCACTCAGCAGTGCTGCAAACCCTGGGGCTTTCTGCACTGGCTGCCTGGGGGACCCAGCCAGGCTGTGCAAGTCTTGGGCAGCATTGGTCGAAGTATCAAGCACAGATCCCACCTGGAACACGGGCCTTCACCCAGGCCAGAGGGAATGAGCTCCAGAGATCTCCAGTGAAGGGAGGGAAGGAGTCTTACAGGACTCACAGTGTGCCGGCACAGGAGCCACAGGGCAGCAGTGCTCCTGCCATCCACTTCTTGTCTGAGTAAGGAAGCACAGCTTGACCCTAGCAGTGAGCCTGGGTGGGCATGGTTCAGGGAGCAGGGACAGATCTACACCCCTTTGCCTACAGCCTAAACCAAGTAATGGGCTCATCCTGACTTGGCCCATTACTCCAGGCTGGACATACTGGGTTATTGCCATGAGCTTGGTGTCCAGCTCCCGGAAGTAACTGTGTATAAACCAAAAGGTGGGTCTGGAATTGAACACCAGACTCAGTTCACCTTTGTCCACTGGCCCAAGGACAAGCAAGTGGTATCTGAGCTGGGGGCAAGAGTCACTCTTCAGAAATAGCAGGAGAGATGTGGTCGCCCCAGATACCCCAGCCAGTCTCACTGCATGGCTGGTGGCTTCCGTTAGTTGTCGTACAACATTTGTTAGCTGCCTAAGCAGAAAAGGAGAGATTTAAGGACACTCACCCCCTTCTGGGGTGACCTGCCCATGCAGGACAGACGGGCTGTGGTACCTGTGTCAGGTACCAGGACACGTGGAGCGTAGCCCTAACTCTTTCTCTCTCGCTCTCTGAAAGCCCTGCTTTTCCTTAAGATATTACAATTATTACTAAGTGTTATACCAAACAGGGCCTACGCTTCAGTCTCGTGCTGAGTTCAGTCATGGCAGAATCTGGTCCCTGCATACTGGCAGAGACTACAGGCCTCCCCCATACACTTCCACTAGCTCAAATACAGTCTGCATTAGGCCCACCGGCCCTCCTTGATGCTTACTGTGAGTTAAGCACAGTTAATACAGATTTGCCTCTTGCTACATGGGACAGGCTGGCATTTGGAAAGCTGCACACAATAACTTTCTTGTAGGGGACTGCAGTCAAGGATTTCTTTTTCTCTTTTTATGGTGGCCTGTTCACGGGGCCCTAATCCTCTCTAGGAAAGGCTGACACATGCTTTGATTCTTTGCTAGGCCACGTGGTTTTCACTTTCAGCCAACACACACATCACATATACATACACATGTCACACACATACACACATCTCATACACCACATGCACATCATACACATCATATACATGCACACACAACTCACACACACCACACATACACATCACATCACATCACACACAATCACACACATCCATATACATATACATCCATATATAGTCACTTTCTCTCTCTCTCTCCTGTCCAGTCTCGCAGCTTTTCCCCTTCATCCACACACACAGAGTGGAAAAAACTGTTTGATCAGCAGGAGTCAAGTGGATCAGGCTTCTTGAGGCCACCTTCTGTTTTATTTAAATAACCCCTGCAGAGGATAAGGGCTGGGCCAGGAGCAGGACGTCCATGTAACATGAACTGGGCCGTACACAAGCAGCTGAGGGTTTTGGCTTCAGTTTGCAGGCAAATCCCACTTCTCACAGGAACAGGGGAACTGCCCCAAAGACAAAGGGTATGAAAGGGCCACAGTAAACTCGGTGCAAACTCAGCATCAGCACTAAGAAACCCTCCTCTCCAAGCAGCAGTCCCTGCCTGTGCAGGGCCTGGAGAGAGGGGACTTTGATTATTTGGGTGGCTGTTTCATCACCCCTTAGTGGTGAAGTGGGGAACAGCTGTCTCACAGCTTCCTGATAGTTTGCAGTATGAGCCTTGCCAATGCAGTTGACAGGCCTGGAAAGGTTTTCTGGTAATCAAAGCATGGATGCAAGGACACACGTGTTTATTTAAACAGCTCTCTGAACTCTTCACAAGGGGGCAACAGTGCAGCACATCTGTGTGACACCTCCCCTGATCTGAGGACGTCACATGCAGTAATAATCTTTAACCATATAGATTTTCATTCCATATATCTAATCCTAAAATTCTCTCATCAGTCAGAGTACCACCACTTAGAGCAGGGGTGCTCAACCTTTCGGTCCTGTGGCTGGATGAGTGGTGCAAGGCCTGTCCGTGGGCTGGATGAGGCCCCATGTGCCAGAACCAGGCCCTGTGCCTAGTCAGCCCTGCACTCCCAGACTGGGCTCTGGGCTGCTGCTGGCTGGCCACTGCATGCCTGGATCAGCCCTGAGCTGCCTTGGCTCGCCCCTGTGCACCCAGATAGGGCCCTGCACTGCATCTTGCCAGCTTCTGCACACCCATATCAGCCCCACACCATTTTGACTGGCTCCTGCATGCCTGGATCAGCTCTGTGCTATCTCGGTTGGCCCCTGTGCACCTGATCCAGTGCATGAGGCCATGTTATCCACCTTCCAGGCTCCCCACAGTTCCAGAAATGTGGCAGCAAGGGAGCAGCAATTAATGCTGTCACTGCTCCCCGACTGCCAAACTGTCAGACTTATGGATGCAGGCCAGATGACATGGATCTGTGGGCTAGATCTGGCCCCTGGGCCAGGGGTTGACCACCCCTGATTTAGGGCATCAGCATAGCTGCATCCTTATGTGGTATTAGACTTGGTGTGTATAAGGTCAGGTTTCTATTGTATTGCCTTAAGCGGTCAGAAATGGAACTTGGCAGCTAAGATTCTAAGCCACATTTTCTAAACCAGCCCCCTTACTTTGGGGAAAGAAACAGACTGCATGCATGAACAGCTAATTTCTCTGCCCAGGTCTGCAAATGAGGAGTATGTACATACTGGTGACCCTTGCACTTGAAAAGCACACACATGAAAACTGCAAACAATCACCGTGCACTTATGAGCCCCTGTTGTAGACAAGTTCGCTGTTGTACTGGATGCAGTACAAAGAAAAAGAAGCATGGACTCTGTCAAAGAGCTTACAATCTCATTACACCCACAAGGGACTGTTCATAAAACTATAGGCTTGAGACAGTCTTCAAAATGTAGACCATATATTAGTGCAGATACCAGTACTTTCTATGGCATGGGAAGTATATGGTGTACAAAGTAGCTCTGGGTGGTTATGAAATGTTTTGGTGACAAGTGCCAGTTTACCCAGCAAAGATTCGTGGCCTTATCAACAAGTCACTTGCCTTTCCTTTTCCTACAGCAGAAAATCTCTTCTCAGTCCAGCAAAACTAGCTCACACAAGGAATCTTCCTCATTCAAAGCATCTCAATAATGTGCTCGCTGGGCCCTTAGATGGACTAGATCTAATTCATAGCAGAGCCTGTGTTGCTCCAAAGGTTGCACTTTCTCCTCCTTCCCCAAAGGATACAGCAGATTGTGTGAGACTGGGATTTAGAGAAGTTTAAACACTGATGGGAGTTAGAAGATGCACAAATGATTGGAGGCACTCCCAGGCAGGCAGCCATGATGCAGAAGCTTTCAGCTCTGGGTATATCAGCAAAGAGAGGATGTTTTGGGTGGGAACATTTAAAATCGTAACCTAAACCTTACCTGTACTAGTGCTTGTACCAGTTCTTGATAGCTATTGCTTCCGAGTATCTGTGGGACAGTGATTTTGCCCTGCAGCCAGTAGTGTGACTATGGGTGGGTGACTGGGGCATGAGCCCTGGGTGCCACAAGAACAGAGCCATCACTGCTGCTGGCCCAGCTCCTGCAGCTGACCCCAATCACTGCTGTGACCTTCGTTGCCACTACCACCCAGGGCACAAGCTGTCCTGTTATACCTCTGCCTGTATTCATTGTTTTGGGGTAGTTCCTTGCACGCATAAACCACGATGAAGACATTACAATATATTACAGTAATGACTCAAAACACTAAGAGCGCTAGAACAGGGAGAGGGGTCTACAAGCTGTCATGTATGTACATCTATTTATTCAAAATCAAACAAGGTCATTACCCAGGTTTCTATCCCGACTATAAGAAAATCAGACAAGCCTATATGCCCAAACGTAATTGGACAAACAAAATACAATCAAGATTAAGCTCTCTAGAATAGACGTTACCACACCATTTTCTTTACATTTTACTATTGCTTCCTTATATTGTGGTACCCACAGCACAATTTAAATTATTCTAATAACATAAACATTGGAAAGGGGGATAATCTCTCTAGCACTGCAGCATACTCTGGCTTCTTCACCCTAACTTTTACCAGCATAGGTATTTACATGTTCAAAAGGATTTTGGGAACGGGGGAGAGGAAGAAAAGCAATGTTCTCCTGGGAAAATAAAGGACACATTTCTCACTACTAGCAACCTAACTTTTCCAAGGAAACCATCAGCGCTCCTCATTCATCAGTGTCACATTTCAATGGCTGCTCTGTTTGCAATGGATTTGTAATGATTAGAAAAGTTCCAGTGCACTTCAATTAATGCTTAAGTCTTTCTCAAGACTGTTTTTTTATTTATTTAAAGGAAGGATGCTTTTTTCTTGGGGAGGGAGAAAGAATCCCCTAAGGAATCCACAAGTAAATGCTCAATAAAAAGAGAGTTAAACAGGTGATTTAAAGAGAACATACTGATATATGGGGCCAAACTGCCTCTTGGTGTAAATGATCATATTTCCATTGACTTCACATACATACTTATACCGGCTAAGGATAGTGACTATGTGGTCTTAAAATTATAGGATCCTGGCCTACACTTATAGGAAAAGCCCCTAAGTTCGTTGGGCTACTTGGGCGAGTCTGGGTTTCAGGACCTCCCTGCCTGTATTTTCTTTGTAAAGATGTTTTTTCCTAGGTTCAGTTATCTGAAATCCATTTTCCTTTCCTTTATCTTCATCACCTGTTCACTTCCATTAGAAGAAAACTGATCAATGAATGCGGGCTGCAGGATGGTGTGGATCCACTTGAAAAAACACTGCCCATTATTTTCCGGATGGACATCACTACATTTTCATGACTGTAAGAAATCTGTTTCAACGCATACATGCTTGTGCACACACATGCACGCCCACCCACCCACCCACCCATACAGATGACCACTGGTAAAATGACCACAAAACCATCACCACAGATTTGTAAAGAAAGTCAGATTCTATAGATTAGTGTATGATCACAGATTTCTGTGATTATTTTGCTAGTATTCTAGCCTTCATCCTTTGATAACATACCTTAGATATTCTAACCTAACAGAAAACTTTAAATTTATTCCATACAAATACTTCTTACTATTTTACTTGGGTGACTTGCCTGCTATTGGAAATGTTTCATTTGCTAACTAAATAATAATCAACTAACTAAGCGATGGTATTAGTAGAAAGGCCTTGCTGAACACGGCTGTCCATTTTACTTTTACCCGTGTAATATAATAGGACACTAGAGGGCGCCCTTTTAATGTAATTCAATAATGAAGTCCTAACCCATGTAAACAGACACAGCATAATTCTCATGCTGGAGATTTCAGGCACTGTAGCTAGAATTATACTTTGCTGAAACGCCTTCCCTTCCCTGCAAGGTATTATCCATATCTCCAGGGAATTAAGAGTATCCAGAGATTTGATTTACTAGAATATTGATCACATTTTACTACACATCTGAGAACTCCATACAGTTTTAACACTTACTATCATTCACAGAAGGACTTTCCTAAACTGGAATAACAGGGACTCAGCTAGGAAACTGTCTGACTTCCACTATGGAATACAAAACTTGCAAAGTAGTTGCGAATAGGCTGCGGTTTATTTTTAGAGGGAGAAGCCAAGGAAATGCAATCCCATCTGAGCAATCCATAACCTGGTGCTGAACATTCAAACCGCCCCATCCAGAGAAAGCTTTTTCTTCCCTCCTCAGCTATATACACCTCTATGTGACGATTTTTCAGGGCTAAGATTAGGGATCAGTGGTCTAATCCCAAAAGGCTCATGGTAGTTCCAGCAGGACTGGGGTTCATACTTCTAATCTGGTTTTTGCTATTGGCTTCTCATGCAACCAAGAATGTCACTTAAACTTTTGGCACCTCCGTCGAAGTGGACAGTAACACCTCAGAGAAGTACCGTGTGGTTTCATTTGTTAGTGATTAGGAAACGTTTTGAGACCCTCATAAGGACAGTTCCACAACGATTATTAATATACCGTATGCGCGTGGTGCTAGTGGCAGGAAGCCAGGGCTCCGCTGCGCTGGGCAACACAGAACAAAAAAAGGTCCCTTCCCTAAAGAATTTATGGTCTAAGTTTCAGATGAGAGCCAAGAGGTGGAAATGGCAGTGACAGATAGTTAGGCCAGGGGAACACACGGAGGCAGTTCTGAACAGAGTACCACACAGATCATTGCCGACCAGCTGTCTAGCCACTGTCAAGTAATTCATAGGGGTCACCCCATCGGTGGGGCTTAAGGAATCCCTTCAGCTTGCTTTGTATGTTAACCACTCTGAGATTTACCTTGCTGCACATCTTTGAGAAGTCTGCTAGTCCCTTAGACATTTCACATAGAAATCATTGGCTCTGTTTACTCAAAATGCAAGTGCATACTTGCCCCTGACTTCAGAGAGACATCCCTGTTGGTACCTGGAGGCAGAAGGTGCCCTTAAGTTACAGGAGAAAAGAACGTAAATTCAGTAGCTCCATTCCTGAAACCTGATGTTCCTTAGCAGTGAGAAATAGCATGTCCTCAGGCTTTGCTAAATTGCAAACGAGCAATTAATTCTCCAGCACTTGTGCAGAATACTTTAAAAATGGAAAAATGAAAGTCTTCTATTAAAATGAAGCTTGATAGTATGCACCTGCCACTAATGTACTGTACACTGTGTCTTCCACTCATTATAGTGATGATTTGGGTTGAGATCAAGAGTCATATAGTGAAAATCACTTCAACACGTGCCTGTTCATATGCATAAACTCCTGTGTACCAGATGGCAAAATATAATGACATCTTAAACAGCTAATTGCATAAACCTTGTAATGCATTTAATTGCTGAACCAAAGTATGAGTTAATAATTTCCCACTGTATTGCCTGGCTTGAGATTAATCCTCAAGGAAAGTTGTGACAATTCTAACACACTAAAGTTCACCAAGCAGTAATTAAAACTAGCACTTAAATCATTTGACTTTCAAACCCTTAATTATGATGCAGTAGAATCACTTTGTAGAAATCCAACAGTTATGGATAGTTACATGAGTGCCAATATTTCCTCATGTTACTTTTCATGGTGCATCTGACATGATGTATTTCAGGAAGCATGTGGCCAGCCATGCTATTCTCCCAAAACTGACAGTCATCATAATTTTGACACTAATAGCCCTTTAGAACCGTAGGTAAATCAATGACCAGTAATGTAACCTATCATATGTACTAACATAATTAGATCACATGCATTAACATAATGAGTTGTTTTTACAGCGTGCATATTGGACATGTTGGCAACTGATCAATTAGTCACCTGACAATACGTAAGTGTGAACACAGCCACTCTAGGCAATACCAGGGATTGAATCAGGGCCCTCTATAGCTAAAAGCAAATTTCCAGTAATTTGAAGCCTCTTGAGGGGAATGGGCAAATGAGCTAGTTATCCCATGGTGGAAGGGAGCATCACCTGTAGAGTGGTAACTGCCTCTGTACATGCTCTGACTCTGTGGCAGATGAAAGCTCAGAAAGCACAGTAGCTTAGCCCCATGCACCTACCATGATTTAGCTTTCATCTAGCCGTGGGTGAGAGAGTGTACCTGGGCAGCTACTGTGGAATAGCTGATGCACAATAAATCCCTGATGCCTTTTTCTTTACAGTAGTTGGTTTGCCTGCACATAATCTAGCTGAGCCTATTAAAATGACTCCAGGACTGGGGCACGCATAAGTTCTGGGCAAAATAATGGAAAAGTGAATGCAGGATTCAGCTAATAAAGAACAGGAATCTAATGAATGCCACTGAACATGGTTTTATGGAAAATAGGTCTTGTCAAACAAACTCAATTTCAGTCTTTCATTCTGGAGAAATGTGGGCCAGACAAAATTACCATTAGGAAGATACATAATTGGTTGGATAACCACAAGGTAAGTAACTATTAACGGATCAATGTGAGACTGGCAGGAGGTTTTAACTGGGGTCCTACAAGGGTCTGCTCTGGGTCCAGTGTTGTTTAGCATTTTTATTACTGATTTGGAAGGAAGAATAGAGAATATATTGACCAAATCTGCAGACTACACAAAACTGGGAATGCTTGCCAATGTTTTGGAAGACTGGGCTATAGACAACAAAATGCAAATCATTGAAGGCAAATGTAAGGTGCTGCACACAGGAGAGAAAGAACCAAATGTACAAACACCAACTGGGTCGGCTGCACTACCAAGAACTATCTGGAGGGCACGATGGTTCACAAACTCAACGCAAGTCAGCAACATGTTGCTGTTACAAAAAAGCAAATACAATTTGCTTTAACAAAAGCAGTGTGTGCCAGACACAGGAGGTGATTGCACCGCTTTACCCTATGCAGTTTGGGGCATTGTATTTTAAATGTGTACAAGAAGGACACTGAAAACTTGGAGAAGGGACAGGAATGAGCCACAAAACTGATTCAAGGGTGGGGAACATGCCTAGTAATGTGGCACTCCAAGAGCTTAATCTATTGAATATATCAAAAAGAAATTTTAAAGGTGACTTGGTTGTGATTTTTCAGTATTTACATGGGCAGAGAATACCACATTTTCTTGTATGCAACATGCCCCAGAATATAATATGCACCTTGTTTTTGAAAGGCAAAATTAAAAAATCATTCCTTGTAGTAAGTAACTGAGTATCAGCAGCTGGGGAGATGAGCCTGCTTATTTTTCTGCTCTCTGTGGATCCCTGCAGAATTAACTTTCAGTTTTACCCAGATTGGCAGAAACTGTGCTTACCCTAATTCTCACATATAATGTGCACTCCAATATTTAGCAGCCGATTTTTGGGAAAATGTGCATGTTGTATGCAAGAAGATACAGTACTATGTACTACAGTGCTTCTTAATCTAATGGAGAAAGTCACAGCAAGAACGAATGGCTTGAAACTGAAGCCAGACAAATTCAAATTAGAAATCAGGCAAACATTGTTATTAGTAAGGTGACAGAGCACAAAAGCAAATGCCTAAGGAAACTGCTGGATTCTGCATCTCTTGTGTCTTCAACTCAAGATGCTATAGTCAAATACAAGTTATTTGGCTCAACACAAAGGGTTATAATTTAGTGACCAGAGGTCAGTCTAGGTCAGTAGATTGTGATTTGAACTCTACATACATGCAGAGGAATAAGATGAGGGAAAAAAGCCTCCTACTACTCTGTGAACCACCTGGACCTTACATCTCAGCATGCTGGAGTAACCATGTAGTCCTAGAAACTGTTTTAAAAAAATGAAAGCTGAGTTTTTGCACAATCGGACTTGCCAGGAAGGCAATCAAGTAGGACAGCCCCAGTCCAAAGACAGAGTATTTGACACTTCTGCTGGACCTCCATATTGAGCATTAGCTCTGCTGTCCCTCTGAGAAGCAGTAACTCAAATCCTGAGCTTTGCATATCTACTTGCAAGTGGAAGAGAAATCTGTGCATAATCTATGTGTAAAGTCATGTCATTTATATAGATACCAGGGTCTTGGAACAAAAGTGGTCACAAGCAGGGTGCAGGGCAATCTCTTTGTTTTAGGAATCTCTACCCAACACTAATGCCCAACTACCAGAGAGCAATTCTCCCTCAAAAATTGATTTCCATCAGAGATATTATGCAGAGAACAAGAATTTCTGCTGCTCATATACTCCCTCTTCTTAGAATCTTGTATAACCACAACCAACATTTATGATGGTCTTCCAAGAGACTAAAAATGCACCTACTTACTAAGAAAAAGCCTTGGACGACTATCTGTGAATGCAATACTAGATGCTGTTCACTATAACCATTCACCATTCACTATAAACCCAGAACACTAGATATCTCACACCA